TCTGACTAGGACATGATAGTCGTTTGAGATTATGAGATCAAATTTTATCATATCTCAGCCAACATGTTAGCGTCCAGGTCAGACTGTCGTTAATTTTTTAACAAAAAATGACAAGTTTGGAATATATGAATAGTTGGGTGACCATTTTATAACTTTTAATAGTTGAGGGACTCAACAAAGCAACACCTTATAGCCGGGGGGGCTATTTTGTAATTTTTAATAGTCGGGGGACTTTACAAAGTAGTACCCTATAATGAAGGGACCATTTGTGTACTTTACCCAATTTAAAAGATGAAAAGAATATGATAATGTAGATCTTTTTTAACAGTAAAAAACTTGTCCTATATAATTACTTGTGATTTGCTTTTCCCAGAACAAAAGAAGGAATTTGTAGCTAGTCTGGGTTGGTTGTTTACATACATAAATAAAAATGGCATATTTATTTGATTTTGGCATTATAGGCACGAAGGCTGTGGATTCCTATAGCGCACATTGATTTCTGGTGCAGCTGCCTAGGGAATTTGGCTGTATACGTTCTCAGAGTCAATCGCATGTGCACTCCATACATTTACAACTTAAACAATGATTTTCATGTGGTTGCTCATCTTTTTCCCCCTTTCATCTTGTGTTTGGATGGAAAGATAATGGACTGAGAAAATGAGACCTAACATTTACCAAGATCGAACATATTTATATTTGTTCATTGATAGAAAAAACACAAAATTTATATAATATATCAACAAATGTTTAAAAAAAACACTTGAAAGCATGTAATGTTTTGAGGTGAAAGGGGCTAATCCGCGGGTGAAAGTGAAGCACCATTGCTGCATTCATTGTGTCTCTTTGATGGAGCTGAAGGAGGAATGGGAGCACCTTTGGTCATAAGCCTACCTGTCCAACCATTCTTCAAAGAAGCATTGGTGTATTCATCTCTGTGTTGGCTTAAATCACGAATACCTTTTGAAGCTCCAGGAAGAAGAAGAAAGAGTGAGAGAAACAATACAATAATCTGTCTGCTAGACATTGAAACTGTTATGGAATCACGATGTCTTTTTGGATTTTTATAATAAAAATACAAGTCAATGGAGATTAGGGAATTAAGAGACACATGGTAACATTAATGGGGGAGAATCGGTTTGGATTCTTATTTTTTTAATTTCAAAATTTGAACGAAAATATCTTAATATTTCGTCATCGTAGGTAACACATCTTCTAACTCTTTTTTATTTTCATTTACATAAATTCATATCTTAGATACAATTAAAATTTGACATATTTAAGTGCAATTTTCACCCAGAAATGAAATGTAATCTTTTATTATCTGTTTAATGCCTTAAAATCATTTTTTCCATAATCAAATAACATCTAAATACGCATTAAGTAAGAATTACTTATTAAACACATAAGATAAGAATTACTTATTAAACACATAAGACGATCGAGTAATGGAGTAACTGACTGTCTGGTACGATTGAGTCATAGGACTCTGATTGGGGAAATGGCATTTTCAACACCCCCATCTTGTGTTGTTGAAATGCTGCAAATGAATCGATTATCTATAGCTTAATAAAAAAGAGAGTAAATGCATTAAATATAAGGGATCGCTCTTTTTTGATTACATCAACTATCACCATGGAAGGTGTATGGAACCATGCAGATTTCTTCGAAAGGTTTACTACGGCTCATCTTAGCCGCCAAAGTATCAGCAACACCATTTTGAATTTTACTAATCAATCTAAATTGAACTTTTCAATCTTCATGGATGGGCCTATCGATCATAGAGAATTTACTAATTATTTTTACTATCTCGACGTTGTCCACCTCTACTTCAAGTTTCCAGATATTGAGTTTCAAGCATGAAACACAATTTCATAGATGGCCCATAGATCAGCAAGAAGAACCAAGCAACTTCCCACACTCTTTTGTAAAATGGAATATCCAGTTTTCATGTTCATCTCTTTAAAGACCGCCCGCCGATGCAACTTGGTTGGTTTCGCATATTGCCCCATCTGAGTTCACGCTTATCCACCCAGCTCCTGGCCGTGTCCACTTTAGACAAGTTTAGCCTGAGGGGGATGGACAACAACAATTTTTTGCACATATTGACGAGGGAGAACAACATTCAAATAACTTCGATTTCAACCTCCTGCTTGAGTGCTTGTGTTACCATGGCTGCCAATTTAGTTGGTTTTGGTAAGAAGTTACCGTTACATTCGATTGCTAAAGGTCCTTCATTTTCCGGCCAAATATCCTATCAGAAGTCAACAGTTTGGCTATCACGGATATTCCAAATGATGTTATCCCTTATCGTTGATAATACCCTTCCACAATGGAGACTAGTTTTTAGTGTTCAAAGATGTTGGCACTGTACCACTCCAATAATATTTAGCTTTCAAGATTTGGATCCATAATTTATCACTGTCCGTAACAAATTGGAATCTGATCTTCATTAGGAATACATCATTTTGAACGTTTAGATTTTTCATTCTGATTGTTGCGATATTAGCTGGCCGTTGGAGGTTGTTAGCAAGCTGTTAGCTTGTTGATTATGTTAAGCCCAACTAGCCCATGTTGGATCAAACTTGAAGTGTTGATCTGTGGTGGCTATATATATATATATATGAGCTTAATGGGTAAAGGGCCACGATTATCTTTCGGCCTACACTCCAAAAATGATCTTTCGGCCAGCAAAGGGTTAGGTAACAAACTAACAGTTTAAATCCATGCCACTATTCACGACCGTGATACCCGCAATAACCACAGTAGCATTCGTTATATTCGCAACTGCAATAAACGAAACGTGACCGAAAAACCACAACCACAGTTTAAATCCATGCGTTGGCCTCTTGGCTCCTTTAAGCTATCAGTCTGTATTTTCTGCCACAACTGGTGTAAGCAGAGACTTCGGCAGGGATCTGGAGTGTTTTCCTTGGGATGTTTTCAAAACTGACAACAACAAAAATTGTTAGTCTACATTGTAGGCTTAAATATTTTTCAAGAGAGGTGATCTTTCAATTTGAGAATTCTGCACACAAATTAAGGAGATTTGTGATTTTGAGTAGATTGCTACATTTCTTAATGGAGTTTCAACTGAGGTTGAATCATTTGTTGTTGTCATTACGGTAAGCCGATAGCCTTATATTTTTGACACTATAACATCGGTGTTGATTGATGCAGAGTCCCGCATACAAGATCCCATGAGGACACCAGTCTGTATCAACATGACACATCATGATCGAGACAAAGAGTCATACAATAACAAAGGTGGTAATTCCACCAGTCGTTCGTACAATGAAGGCCGTTCAGGCACCACTCGAACAAAGGATAATTTGGGAACACGATACATAGGGAGACCTAGGCATTAGTGTCAACTGTGTGGGAAGCTGGGACACCTGGTTGATAGGTGTTGGCATAAGTTCGATCAGAACTTCAAAGGGGTTGGTTCTCAACGATCAAGGAACAACACTGATGGTCAAGTCAATGTTTGCAAATTTACTTCTGAAATTAATGATGTGTGTTATAATACATTTGTGAGTCTTTTTGTAGGAACCGATATGTCTGATGAAAATAAGACTACTGACACAACGCAGATCAATTCTCTCATAGCTAAAGGAGTCGCTATTTGTTACTCACAAATGGTTTCCCGATTCGAATTCTATGCACCATGTTATATATGAACAATCTGGAGTCTCCTCTTCGCGGAAATACTCAGGTAATGGTAAAGTATATCTTGGCGACGGCTCTACCTTTGGGATATCACAAATTGGTAACTCTATTTTATCTTCTAGATCTCGCGATTTAAAACTTAATCCCGTGCTTTGTGTACCTCATATCCCAAAAATTTGTTATTTGTGTCTAGATGTACTCGTTATAACAATGTGTATCTTGAATTTCACGCGGATAACTGTTTTACGAAGGATGAAACGAAGGGTGCGATACAAGTGGAAGGTAAACTGGAAGATGGTTTGTATTATTTTGATACTGCTACGGTCTCACATGGCATATTGCATCATGTCACTACATCACCTACTGCATCATCATCTACTAAAATAACATTTGTCAAGTCTAGTTCCAACTACAGGTTGTGGCACAAACGTTTGGGGCATCCATCACATAATGCTTGTCATTTAGGAAAAAATCTATCGCTGACAAATCGTAAATCTTAATCAAGCGACGTGAGAAAATTATCAACGAATGTAAATTGTATTTTTAAATCCAATCCGATATTTCAAAGTAGGGAAGATCAACATGATAACAAATAAGCGTCATTTTGATCAATCGTGGCAAAGTCAATTCAGCACTAAGAAAAAGGATAAACGAAAACAAACTATCGAAAATGTTCCACAAAGGCAGAGGAAAACATGTCACAAAGACAGAATTATTAAAAAACTAAAAACAAGATACGGTATAATAAAGTAAAAAAATAATGAATACCCACGGTTGATGACCAATACTAAAGCTAGTGTCGTCACTGGTAACAAAAGAAGAAGAAGAAATTACCGACAACACAAAAAAAGAGAAAAAAAACTAGGGTAAGAAACCCTAAAAATAGAGATACAAAATTAGATAATTTAATTTTAAGTAAAATATAACTCTTTTCAAAATAAATAGAGTAATTCAAGGACTTATTAGGTACTTTTTTTTATCAAAATATTTTTAAATAATTTGTTAAACGTCATCACAATTAATTAAAGAAAAAAAATAATATGTAGATTTTTATTAATTAGTCGAGTGATAAAAATATTTATGTTATCTTATTTTGTGTAGATTCAAAACACATCATTTACCTTGAAAATGTAATATATCTCTACCTAATAAAAGAAAAGCAATTGGTCATAAAATCGAGAGATTGCTATATCTTAATAATTTAGAGAGTATAATAAGAAAGAACCGACTTAAACAAACAAGTGCTGATTACAAAGGATAAAAGAACAGATTGTAATAATCAATCACACGACACGACATAAAATCACACTATAATATCGAATATATTAGGCAGGCTAGTTGTTGGAGCAATCAGTTGGCTTAAACGTGATCGTCTGCTTCCCAATATCATATCCAATCAAGAAATTCATCTGTGCTATGTTTCCATAGATTGCAAAATCTTGTATGGAACTGAAAGCCAAGCATATAGTTTTATCAGAAACCAGAACGAAGGTATTCAATGGCTTCAACTTCACATCGGCATCAGTGATATGTACAGTAACATCAGGAAATTCAATGTCGTTTTGAGCTTCATAGCATAAACTCAGACCCTGAGGTCCTTCAACCTTTGTGGCATTAATATGGCTATCCACGGCTGACTCAAGTTCCAAGTAAAAATCTGATGGAAGCAACGTCAAAGTAGTGCCTGAATCAATGATCATGTTGCCTTCATGTGAACCGGTAGAATAGCCTGTGAACTCGATTCTCTTGGTTCCAACACTGATGGCCTCAAGGGTTAAGTAGTAGAAAGAGTCGGGGGAACTTTTAACCAATGGAGTCGAAACAACTCCAGTTCCTGAAACTACTGCATTGGAACCAAAGTTCAGTCTGCTGGAATTTCCTGTTTCAGAAATTGGCAACAAGCAATAGGAGAATTTGCCTGCAATGGAAGCTCCCAGTTGGGAAATAAGTGAAACTTCACCACCTCCGAGGCCGATAATGCCAGAGGTTTTCTCATTGAACGTTCCGTCATTGTTGTGTCCACAACCGATGACTGTTTTAGGAACAGCCATGGGCTGACCGGTTGTCGAAGCCAAGGTGAGTGTATCGGCAGCAAGATCACCATTTGAAAAAGATGTATCGCCGTAAGAGACTGAATATTGGCAAGTATTATCAGTAGAACAAGAGCTCCCTTGGAGGCTGTTACATTGACTTGCATTGCAAGAAAGCTTTCTGTAAGTAGATGATTTACTAGGGTCGAAAAGTGGAGCTTCTTGCTTGAAACACTGAGAACAAGGCTTGCATTGAGTCCAAATAAGATCACTTCCTGTATCAGCTATTGCAACAACATCAAAACCTGGGCTGCCAACTGATATATTCATCAGATATTCACCCGAATTCGCAATGAGTTCAGCTTCTACTGCCTTTGTTGTGACAGAACTCAGCTTGAAGTGATTAACACGATCGAAGGAACGACGCAAGGCATTGGTGACACGAACAGAGGTGGTTTCCGAAGGATTGTAAAAGGGGGATCTAATGGAGTCACGGTGGATTAATTCGACACTGAAACCACCATTTTGAGCATCAACAAGGCAAAGGGTTGGGAGAGAAAGGATAGCTAAAACAATAACGGCCATCTGTAACAAGTTTGAGACTAAACACTGTAGAGAATTGCAAGTTCGGGTGCCGTAAACTTGATTTATTTTATAGTGTTGAAAGGGTAATTGAATTGAGACAGAACAAACTAAAATTAAAACTTACAACAAACAATTAATGGTGAAATGATACATTCAATTAATTTCCCTCTTTAAGTACAAAGTATATGAATACATAATTACAAAGATACATTTAACGTTCATTTCATCTCTTCATTGAATGTTTTTGAGATTCTCATAACCATAAAACCCTGAGATTAAAAAAGTAACAAATAACGTATGGTTTCCCGCACTGCTTCAGCTTCTCTTCTGTTGAAATTCTGCTATCTATGGAATTTGAGCGCCATAATGTTTTGCTTTCATCTTGAGATTAAAATAATAATTGATATTAACTTGAATTTTGCTTTAATTGATTCATTACATCTTTAGTAAATTAAGCAGTAACTGTAATAAAACTAGTCTTTTTCACACTTGTGACACATTCGATTATTATTTTTAGGGTAAACTACTCAAATGACCACTTAACTATAGGGTTGGTGTTGATATGACCACCATACTTTAAGTTTTGACAATATGACCACATAATTATTTAAGTGGTTTAAATCAAGCCACATGCCATTAATATTTAACGGAAGTGTTGACATCACGATTAAAAAATTAATATAATTATATATTTAGTCCTTAGTACTTACATATTATATCAATTTAGTCATAATTTTAATTTAATACAAAAAAGTAACTCTCTATTCAGAAGGTGTTATATGTCACTAGAACCTAGGTGAGAGTGGATACACCTCTACCGTTGGGATAAACTCAACATTTGTTTTTAATTTGTAAAATATTTTATTTATATTATTGTAAATTATGATATAAAAAGAAAATAATAAAAATCTAATAAATAAATTATATATATATATATTGTCATAATTGTTTTTTTTAAATGATACTATTTTTTTGAAAAACAATTAAGTTAAGAAAATAATTATGACTTTTATATATATATATATATAATTGTAGTCAATGTAAGGTGTAAAAATAAAAATGAGTTTAATATTTTTTATTAAAGTAATTTTTTTCTTTTTCAAAATTATTTTTAAATGATTATAAATCTAAGGGATAAATTACTCAAATAACTATTTAACTATGAAGTTGGTGTCGATATGACATCATATTTTAAATTTTGTCAATGTGACCACATAACTATTTAAGTGGTTTTAATCAAGCCACCTTCTTAACATTCAATAGAAATGTTGACTTGACAACTAAAAATTAATATAATTATACATTTAGTCATTAGTATTTATATATTCTATCAATTTAGTCTTATTTTAATTTAAGTCAAAAAATTAGCTCTCCAATCAAGAGATGACGCTTGTCAACAGATTATTGTGACACATATCACGAGTAATACGTGTCACCACCTGATTGGAGCACTTGATTAAACTCAAAAAGTATTTTTCATTTACATTCTTAACATCCCCAATATTAACATAGTTTTTTCAAATTTCATAGACCTAAAATAATAATGAAGTAAAACTCGAATGGCATTGCTAGTTTCAAAGAAGATGGGAAATTATCATAGAAGAGAGAAACACGTAAAAATATATGATTGTAGGTGTATCAAATAGTGAATTGGAGCTTGATATTTGCAAGGATAAATTAGTAAATAAGATAAAGTCAGTTGTCATAAAATCTCAATCTTCTCCAATATCTTCTTAATTTAAAAATAAAATCTTGTTTAAAATAATATTTTTTCCCTTTTTATTTATATTATCCAACATGAAGAAATTGGAATCAAACTATAACAAAATGTAAAGTTGAAGGATAAATATACTTTTATATATTTTTATTAATTATCACATTATAAAACAAATAATTATTTTATAGATGGAATACAACAAAAACATGTCTCATAATCAGAGACTCTTTGAATAATTCATTCTAGATTTTAATAATATTTGATTAGCATGGTTTAAGAATTATTTTTCGGGTACGACCAGTGGGCTTTTTCATTCATATGTACCAACACTAAAAAAGATTTAATGAAATTGCCCCAAGATTATAATTATTTATCAAAAGAGGACAAAAACTACCGACTCTAAATTATTGAGCTGGGTTACCTTAGCTATGCATGGTTTACACGTGATTTTCATCCTCCAAAGCTGGAACCTTTGAGGTTGATCCTTTGTATGGTTCTAGGTAAAGACAGAAACGGTACTCGATTATAAGATATTATTTTTTTAATTTATCGATTATTAAAAGTTATAAAATGATCTTTTAATCATAAGACGTTGTTTTGTTGAGTTTCTCGATTATTAAAAATTATAAACTAGTCACTAGACAATTCATATATTTCAAACTCGTCTTTTTCCGTTAAAAATTGACAATCACTTGAACTATACATTAACTTGTTTTTTTTTGTTGCCCTTCCAAGTTCTCAAGACTTTGCTTTGAATAATCCAGACCGACTCAGGTCGTACGCTTGGTTCTAGTGGGTGAATCTTCAATTATAAATTTTTTATATACACAAATATTCGAACTCAAAATATCTTTAAATAATATTATACTGCTTACTACTTGAACTAATTTAATTAATTGGAAATCAACACCAAAGAAAAGTACGCGCGTCAAAGGTAGGCTTTGGAAGATACCGACTAAATTTGTCCCGCAATTGGAAGTCGCCAAATGCTGATAAGGGTTTTCAATGTCACCTGAAAAAGTTCGTATCGCCATCGACGATGACATTAAATCAGATTTGGTGCCATTATTTCTATGTGCAACCGTCGGGACAACACCCACTGGAGCAGTCGATCCTATTGTGGAGTTGAGCAAAGTTGCCATGGAGTACAATGTTTGGCTTCACATTGACGCAGCATATGCAGGAAGTGCCTGCATTTGCCCCGAGCTCCGCCATTATATTGATGGAGTGGAGCTTGCTAACTCCATCAGCCTGAACCCACATAAATGGTTCCTCACAAACAACGATTGCTGTTGCTTGTGGACTAAGGAACCAAAGTTGTTAATCGATTCATTGTCAAGTGACCCTGAATATCTAAGTAACAAAGCAAGTAAATCCAATGCAGTGGTAGACTACAAAGATTGGCAGATCGCATTGAGTAGATGATTCAGGGCTTTGAAGCTTTGGATTGTGATTCGCAGACATGGTCTGGCCACCACATTCAAAGTGATGTCGCCATGGCTAAACAGTTGGAAGAATTTGTGAGGAAAGATAAGAGGTTTGAGATCGTAGTACCGAGAAAGTTGCATTGGTTTGCTTCAGGTTGAAGCCCAAGGCCGAGGACGAGGATGAAGGCAGAGAATTGAACTGTAAATTGGTGGAGGCCATAAATTCAAGTGGGAGAGCTTTCGTGAGTCATGCAGTGGCGGGTGGGATTTATGTGATTCGATGCGCCATTGGAACAACTCTGACTCAGCAACACCATGTGGATGCTTTGTGGGAACTCATCAAAGAAAAAGCTCAGCCTTTATTAATGGAGTGCACTAATTAGGGAAAATTGACACGGTCTCCCTTCTTCAACAACACTCGATCTGTATTTTTTTTTCTTTTCTTTTTTGTTGGAATATTGTGTATTAATGGTATTCTATTTGTAACCCCATCAGACCGATGCAAATAGCCCGATTTGATCTGGAGTGTCACATTAGGGCCACCCGAGTGACCCACAAAAAAATAGCGGAAAATTTAAAACTTTTCTTAAAACATGTAAACTCATAAAATCATTTATGAGTACAAAATAAAATTTATCAGTATTCGAAATAAAACAGATTTTCAGACTAATATATAAAACAAAATACAATTACATGCCCCCTAATCACATGTACCATACTCTGCAAGCAACGCCGGAAGAACTCCCTTACTGATGTTGATAGCTGTACTGGTACAATCTTTTAACCTGCAATGGTGATTAATAGAGTGAGCTTCGAAAAACTCAGTAATACAGAATTACCAGATGATGCTACAAGACATGCAGATAAATGGGAAGCCATAATTTCCTTATCGAATCAAACGTATACCAATTGCGGAATAATCTGGGGTTCCATTAGTAGTTCATCGAGTAGAAGCCATGAATCTCAGTTCATAAGAAACCTTTCATACTATCACGTTTTCATGAGGTCGAAAAGGATGTCTAGTGTGTTCCATCAGTACAATAAAATCATAATAGGTACACTAATCAAATGATAGTTCAGTAAAATCCCATAAATCATATTGTAGTGGAGTTTTTTTTTTAAACTCGTATTTTAAAACCATCTTACAAAGAGTTAACCAAAGGGAACATCTTAGGGCCTGAGAGCCTACCCAAGAAAGTTCGGGGCCACGGGGCCTACCTAAGAACACATCTTATGGCCACAGGGCCTACCCGAGAATGATCTCAGGGCCGCAGAGCCTACCTAAGAGTCACATTAGGTCCATAAAAATTTTCCAGCTTGATCAAAGTTGTACTTTAAAAATATGTATCTCCAAGATACAGTTTATACAATGATACAAATCCATAAGCCATCACCGTTAAGTCGGTGCATCCATAAAACATTAACCATATATTTCAGTGTACCACATGTTAAAACAATAAAACAATTTTCCAAAATATATGGAACACACTAGAGAATCCAAATATTTTTCAGATGCATTTTGTAGTTATCAGTATTGATAACAGAAAACTTATGCAATTTGATCATATTCCAGGAACGAGGTCCTATTGAAGAGAATCGATTTTTAACCGATCTAATCAGACATTTCAGATTGATACTTCAGAATTCCACTACGTTTCCATGTGCATCAGGAAAACGTTCAGGAACCTTTATACATAATAATTCTAAATTCAGATTTACTGCGAGTGATTCTATTACCCAAACAATCAGGGGTATTCAGGAATATACTTTGAATTCATAGGATTTCAGCCCAATTGAACCAAATGAGGTATTCAGAATCTTTTTATTCTGCGTTACTTGCGTTTTCAAACATGACCGAAGTGATTTTAGATGAAAATATAGAACCGAAGATTCAAGTCATTTACAATCTATGACTATCGATCGTATTATCAAACAACTCGAGTTACACAACTCTCAAACTGATGCATGTCAACAAGTCAATTCATTATCCTTCCAGTGTATTCACTTTTTAATACCATAATACAGATCCATAGATCATTCCCATAATCATCGTTGAATAGATCTTCC